TGCCCTCTCTTCCCATCAGCCGGCAGCTCCATTCTCCACTTGAGTCCTCCGTGGCCACGCCACTGACTCTGGGCCCAGGAGTCCCCAGGTCTCCTCACACTGCTTGCCAACCAGGTCCCCAGATGAGTCCACAGAAGCCCACTGAATATTGTAAGGCTTAGCTTGCCGCTTCATTGCTGCCTTTATCCCACTTCTCCCCATCGGTGATGCGTGGTCACCAATCAGAGCGTGTATTTCCACCGAGTCTCAGTCTTTCCTTTTTATGCCTTTTTAGGGGACAAAGACAAGGACTCATTGATTTGAATGGTGTTCCCTTAATTGTCTCAAAAAGAATTGTTGCCATTTCTTCTCTTATAATGAGTTTTTTAAAAACTTTTTTCTATTGTGAATGAGTGAAGATTTATAGAGCAGATAATCAATTTTACATTCAATAAATAATATACTTTTTTTTATCTCAATGACTGCAGTTCCCCTCAATGTAACATCACTTAACCCATCTCTTTTTTCTTGTTTCTACATTGCCCTTTTGATTTTAAATGGTTAACCATTCTATGGCATGTGTACCTGACTTGGATGGGTGTCCTCTATGTATCTATTCCTTGGCTGAAAATTGAGCAATGGGAGTGAGTTCAATTTCAGACCTGAAAGATGATCAGGCGCCATAATCTTGGGGTTCCATCAGTCTCAATCTGACCAGTAAACCTGATTGTTTTTTGTTATTTTGAGTTTTATTCCATGTTTTCTACCACTCTACTCAGGACCTTCCAATATGATCCTTTTCAGAGCAGTTAGTAGTGGTAACAAAGCACCACCTAGTTTATGTGGTCCATTAATCCACAGGACAAACTGTTACTTTTTTAAAAAAAATGTGGGTTTCTTAGTGAAATTTTACACAAAAAAATTAGGTTCCCATTTGACAATTTCTATACAGATTGTTTAATGATGTTAACTAACTATATTTTTCACAGTATGTCAACATTCTTTTCAACTGCATTCTGGTTGTTCTGTTTCCAATACTCTAGTTTCCCTCACCTTTCCTTTAGAGTAATTGTTGACATTTTGGTCAACAATTTTGGATGGATTTTTATTAGAGCACCCCACTAAAAGACTAATATCCTTTATTTCATGTGCTAAAAGGTGTTTATTTAATTTTGCTAAAAGGTGACCTCAGAGCAAAGTTTTGGTTCAAGATTTAAAGAATATCTGAGGGAGATAGTTTCAGGGAATCCTTTAGTCTCAATTGGTCTAATAAGTCTAGACGTTTTAAATTTGGGGTTCTGTTCTATATTTTTCACTTGTTCTTTTGTGGCTCTGGTCAAAGTGGTCAGTAGTGGTAGCTGGGCACCATCTAGTCCTTTTGGTCTCAGGGTAGATGAGACTATGGCTCATGTGGGTTATTAGTCCTGTAGACTAGTTTCGTCTCTAAGACTTTGGTGTCTGCTCTCTTCTGTTCCTGGTGAGTAGAGACCAATAATTATATCGTAAATAGCTGCACACCAGCTTTTAAGGCCCAAGCTGCTACTCACCCCACTAGCATGCTTCTTAAAGAATTCTTAGAAAGGGCTCCTTTCTCTCCAGAAGGGGAAAAGTGAGCTCATTTTTCCAGTTCCATTGTTGTTCTGTGCCTCTCCCACGCCCCCTGCCACTGGCCCTAATTCCATTGGTTTTAATGATGGCATTATATTCTTGTGAGTGGACCTGCTGTAATTTACTTGACCACTTCCCTATTATTGGACATTGGGTCATTTTCAATTTTCAGCTCTCAAAAATAGCACAGTGTTGAACACACTTGAGTATAATTTTGTTGTTGTTGTTTAGTTTATTCCCAAAAATAGATTTACCAAGGCAACGGGAAGGACTTTGGCAATATAGTCTTGAGACAATAAAAAACCCAACCTAATGATATAAACAAAAGTCTTCATTGAAAAAAAAAAAAAAAAGAGAAGGAAATAGGTGGAGGGTTCAATGCTTCCAAGAAAATAATAGTCGTCAGGGTAAGTGGCCGGAAAGCCAACTCCTCTCCTGCATTCAATTGATGTTAAGTATTCTTTAAGCAAAGTAGCTCAGGCAGAGAAGCGTGTGATTTTTCCATGTTTTAAATGGCAAATATTTCCGTTTTCTTTGACAAAGAACAGTAATTGAGCACTAGAAGGTGGAACCTGAATCTCATTTCCAAAAACCTAAGTTTCATCAAAACCTTACGATTTGATAGCTGAGATATTGAAATGATTTTCTCTTTCTCTTTACTTTCCATAGACATCTCTAGGCTGCTCTACGGCTTCCTTAAGTGGAATGGGGCAGAGAGGGAGAAAGAAACCTAGAAAGAGAAGAAGGCCTGTTGGCACTATGGGATAAGTGTTGGACTGCTAACTGCAAGGTTGATGGTTCAAACCCATCAGATGCTCTGTGGGAGAAAGATGAAGCTGCCTGCGCCTGTAAAGATTTAGCCTTAAAAAATCCTACAGAGTAGTTTTACTCTGTCCTATAGCTCACCAGTGACTCCTCGGAAACCCTATACAGGGTCGCTATGGGTCGGAACCGACTCGACGGCACTTAACAACAACAACAACAGTAGGTCCTATAGGGTCACTGAGTTGGAATCAACTCGATGGCAGTGCGTTTGTTTTTTGTTTTTAATCTAGAAAGAGATCTATATTTATCTAAACACTGCTTTGTTTTGTTTTGTTTTGGCTTGACTCTTGAGTCGAGCTATGTATGGGAGGTCCAGAACTAGCAGGAGCTTCTAAAACCACTGACCAGGCCTGGCCCCCAAGGAGGAATTCACTGAGGACTGAGACCGTATCCACGGAGTCTGGGCCAAACCTTAGCAGAGTTGCTGGGATGAGAAGAGCCATGGGGTTCATTCCTGATGTGGCAGGGGACTATTTCCCAGGCCTTACTATGCCCCTCTCAAACGCAGCCTCAATAGATATATTCCGTCCCGTAATTGCCAATGGCTGAATAATATTTGGATGGATGGATACATACATGATCATCAGACATTTTGCAATTCCTAATTCTTGGTGTGGTGCCGTGGGTTAAGGCGCCAGACTGCAAAGCCGTTTGAACTGCAAGGTCGGTGGTTCAAGCTCACCAGCTGCTCCTTGGAAACCCTATACAGGGTCTCTATAGATTGGAATCGACTCGACAGCACACAGCAACAACAACGACAACAATTCTTGGTTGATAGAAACAAAGATGTAAGAGACAAACGAATCAAAGAAAGAGATAAGAGGTACAATGGAGCTTTCTAAAATACTTCCGTACACATGCCATCCCCTTATTTCTCTCTTGCTTGAAATCCACCAGTGATTCTCATTAGCCACATGGTGAAGCCTAAATCCCATCAACTGGCATTCGAATCTGACCCGTACCTGGCAGGAACCACTCACTGTTCCCTGCCCGGGCTCTTTTATCACACAGTTAGATTGGTTCATTCTGGGCCTTGTCCATTCCTGTCACTGTATCTTTGCTTGGGCCAAGTCTCCCTCCTGGACTGTCCCCTCCCTCCCACACTGCTCCATCCCAAGGGCTGCCTCCCTCAGAACTCAAAATCCTTTCATTTTATCATCCCTGCTCCAGACCTCTGCATAGTCTTGTAAGTTTGCTCTGTTTCCATGGGTATGTTTCTATGGGTATGTTTTCCATGGGTTGCTTCTCAAGATCACTGGAGAAATGAGGATTCACCACTGGGTACCACTCTGTATCTCCAGGGTTCAGAATGGCACCTTACACATATAGAAACGTCGTTGGGCCAGGTTTACTGGTGGTGATTGCAAAGGTTGGCGTAGTCTTGCTACCTGGAATGAGGATGGAGGAGGCAAGCCATCGCACTGTGTCCTTTCTGTTTACTTGGAGTATGTGCCCACAGTACCTAAATCTCAGCTTGTTGAGAAGTGTGGGAACTGCTAATGAGCCACCTCCTCTGCAGACAAGGTCTAAGGCACAAAGGGAGAGCAGGAATGGTATCTCTGGTTCTACACACCAGTACTTCAGGAAGAGGAGCAAACAGACCAGAGGCTGGAGGAAGGGCAGCTCAGGGTGCTAATCCCAGCTTCCTGTCCTGATTTTTCTTGACCGCTGCCCAGGATGGTCTCAGCTGCTGAAACCGATCTCCCCCTCACCTGTTCTAAGCAGAGAAGATTGTGCTGAGTTCCCGTCAGGAGAGGCATGCTGGGTAATATTTCCAGTAATGGGAATGCTGGTGCTGAAGTCCCCAGGTTCCTTCATCTTTGAGAATCAGTCACTAGCTTTGGCAGATAACCAGAGAGCAAACCGCTGCAGCAGGAGAATCTAGGGGTTGGCCGCCAGGGCCCCAGCTTCTTGCATGCATTTGGCCTGCGATAGGAGTCCTGGTGTGGCGCTGTGAGTTATGTGCTGTACTGCAAAGTCGGTTTAAACTGCAAGGTCGGCGGTTCAAACTCACCAGTCGCTCCTTGGAAACCCTATACAGGGTCTCTATGAGTTAGAACCAACTCGAAGGCACTTAACAACAACAATCTGCCTTGGTCGGCTCCAGAAACCACTCTTGGGCCTGCAAGAAGCCCCTCTGATTTCTCAAGATGACAGAGCGGATCCTCTCCTACCTCACTCACCTGACCCTGGCCCCCTGTGCTCCTACAAAGCTGTCAATTCCTCATCTTAGCCAATTCCACTTGGCCTGGAAGCCAAGTTGCAGCCAGGTCTCCCCATCCCAGGCATTCACTCTACAAACATGCCGCCCCTAGGCCAGTACAGTAGGGGGTGTGTGTGTGTGGGGGGCGGTGGACACACAGGACTAAGACACGGTCAGTCCCAGCGCAGGGAGGTGGGAGTTGGATCCCTCGCAGAAAATAGGTTTCTGGTGGCTAACTCAGGAATCCCGCCACCCGGGAGTCCGAGAGAGGAGGATGGAGGAAGACTTGGGCCACAAGGACCGAGCCTGCGCATGCGCGTGAGGAAATGTGAGCCCAAGGCGGTGCTAGTGTCACCATGGTAACACTGACACGCCGAAGCCACGCATGGCGGCAGGGGCAGGCAGGAGCTGGGGTCTCCCACCATCACAGAGTGCAGGCCAGACGGTGAGGGCTGGGTGGGGAGCAGGACCGGCTTGACCCGGGGACGGGGGAGGGAAGAGAGCGAGGGGCGGAACCCTGGAGTGAGTTGGGGAACAAGGAGGTCGACCCCAATCCGAGGGCAGGAGAGAGCTTGTAGAACGCGGCCCCTGCAAGGTTAAGGGTGCAACCTGCGGCGGTGGGGTTGGGGCTCCGGACGTAACCCCATCCCTTTTCCTCCTGGCCCGGTTCCTCCCTCCTCCAGCCCTGGGTGACTGTCCTGCAGCCCCTCCCCTGGGTCCCTGCGCCCCCACAGCCGGGTCGTGTGAAGGAAGGTGAGACTCCAGGGTCATGCCTTCGCCTTGTACGTTCTCTGTGCACCGGTCCCACTTCCGAGCCTCAGGGCTGGGGATCTGGGAAGGTGGGGATCTGGGAAGGTGAGGCCGGGTGTGGACTAGCCGAACCGCTGCCCCCCAGACCTGCTGGAGCTGATGCTGCTGCAGAACGCGCAGATGCACCAAGTGCTGCTCAGTCGCTTGACGGCGGGGACACTGACTCCGGAGCCCAATGCCACTGGCCTTCAGGTACATGGGCCAAACCGTGGAGGGCTAGGGGTCATCTGGCGTCGCTCTGCTCTCCTGGAGAAAAGGACTGGGTAGCAGAGGAGCGAGAAGGCCAGCGCATAGCCATCTGGCTAGGTCTGTTTGGCATGCCCCCACGGGCATGTCCCTTTGTCAGCCCCCACGGGCATCCCCAAATCCAGACGACACAGTCCCCACACTGGAGACTGCAGGCCTGGGAGGGATGGCCCAGTGCACCCTGGGGCCTGCAATAGGCAGGACACTTACTAAGGGCTCCATAGATGCTTGTTGACAAAGAATGGGTAACTATGAATACAAGCCAGCATTAATTGTGACCCAACGTGAAAGTTCAAACTATGAGCGCACACTTGGTTGGGGACAAGAAAAGAGGAGAAGCAGATGATACTGAGCCAGATACAATTCTGATGCCAAGGAGCTAGAGGTATGCCCACCATCCAGGGTGGCAGGGGCAGAGGCAAGAGACAGATGGAGGAAGCCCGGGATATGCCTCAAAGGCTGTGCCTCATTTTACCAGCAATGGGCACCCCAAAGATTTGTGAGCAGGGAAGTGGAGGAAGAAGAGACCAGGGAAGCTTGTGGAAGGCAGTGCCCAGGAAAGACCCCCTCAAGAAGGAGGTGGAGTGGTTGAAGAAGGAGGAATGAAGTGCTGAGGTTGGCCTGGTGCCTGAGAAGGGGAACAGGGGCCAATGTTGGTTGGGGGCAGCTCAGGCCAGGTGGAAAGTAGGAGGCCTGTCAGGAGGAAATGGACAGGGGTCCATGGAGAAAGTGGTCAGGGAGTCCAGAAGAGAGAGGTGTTGAGGAGCTATTGTTTCTGATCCCTCCCCATCCCCGCTAAAAAGGAAAACTGTAGACAGGGGTTTTATCCCCCACCCAGGCCCTCGGGTGGGGGAAGAGGCCAGGGTGAGGCCAGGTGTATCTGGTAGACCCAGCCCAGCTCTGGGGGCACACCTGAATTCTTCAGTCCCTGCTCTGCCATTTACTAGCTACATGACCTTAGACAAGTTGCTCAACCCCTTTCAGCCTCAGATTCTCCACCTGCAAAATAAGGAATAAATATCTACAGTGTTTGGCTGGCATATAGTACATGTTCAATAAACAATGGCCATGATTGTCTTGTGGGTCTGAAGAAATCACTTAAGGGAACACAGGGTTGGGGAGGAAGATCCTGATTCATTGCCACCTCCCTCCCTCCCAAGGTCTACCTGGAGGGGCACCAGGAGGAATCTGAGGAGGTGGAGGAGTTGGGAATGCAGGCGGAAGAGCCTTTGGTTCTCCATCACCACTACCTACCCTGGGTGCCGTTCCCCTGGGGCCCTGTGCTGCCCTGGCCAGCCCCTTTCCTGCCCCCACACTCACATCAGCACCATCTGCAGGCCCCCCCCAGGATTCAGCACCACACTCCTGCCCCCTGGAGGAGGGAGATGTAAGTGAGGCTACCGTTCGGGGTGCTGCCAGGGCTGGAAGATCACCAGGGGCTGGAGCTGGCTGTCCTTGCTTCTAGACAAAACCCCACTCTCCACCTCTGGGCCTCTGACAGGGTCTTTTCTCTGCCGCATCACAGGAGAGCTGTGCCTCCGCCCCCACCCCCCAGCGCCACAGGGACTGTGGGTGCGGATGTGCCCCCGGCTTCAGGTAGGAGCCCAGGTGAGTGGGTGGTGGGGCCCAGTGAGACTGGAGGGAGAAACAATGAGGATGCTGTTTCTCCCCCAGATTACTATGATGCAGAGAGTCTGCTGTGAGAATGGATGTGGGCCTGGGCTTCTACCAGCATCATCACTGGGGAAACCATCCTGGGCCCCTGTCCCTCTGCTGTGCCTGTGGTCTGCTCTTCAATCCCAGCAGCCCTTCAGCACCCCGACCCCACCGGCCCTCTCTCGGGGCACTTCAGTCCTCGCTGCACCCTACTGCAATGCTACACAGACTAACCTAGGCTCTGGGGTGAGATTCTCCAGGGGTACCACCCAGCGCTGAAAACCACATAAAAACCCAATTCTGCCTCACCCTTTCCTGTCCCACCCTCACCTTCTTCCCTTACCCTGTTGTCGGGACTGACAGGGCTGGCCTAATTGGGGTGGAGGAGGCATTCTTTTTCTCACAGCTCCGTGAAGACCTAAAGTGATGGGTAGAAGGGATGGAGGCCTGGCTGGGGAGGAGCCACAGGCTGAGAGAACTCCCTTGGGACCCCGCCCTCACCCTAGGAAGTTGGCTCTGTAAGCAGAAGGGAGAAGTCTGAACTGTTATCTTCTCCAACCAGGACTGCCTGAGGCTTCAAAGACCAGGAGGGAAAGCAGGATTCTGCCCTACTGGGCCAGGACACTGTGTCCCCCCCACACACCTCAGGGAAGAGTCACTCAGGGCTGGATTGGGGGTGTTGGGGCTCTGGTCCCTGTGCTGGACAGCATAGGGCCTCCCCAGGGCCCGGGCTGGCTGAGGTTTTGGAAGGGCCCCTGTGAGGGGGCAGCGGGGAGAGGGAGGCTGAGGGAGAGCAGTCCACATCTGCTGGTGTTTGGCATTATCCCAGAAGACATTGAGAGCACAGAGTTAAGTCTAGGTGTTTGTATTAAGGCTAGAAAAGGAAATGTCCCTGAAGTCCTCCACTGCCCGCCACACAGTTCTTCAGCTGGGGCTGGGCCACAGCCCTCAGGAATCCTGCTGAGGTTCAGAGGCCTCTGCCACCAAGGCCTGTCACTCATGCCTGCTGTGCCCGGTAGGCCCGGGGCAGCCTCCGCCAGGCTGCTCGTACCCCGTAGGCGCCTGTCCTGTTCTGGTGCCAGTGCTGGCCGAAGAAAAAGCAGAGCAGGACAGACATGACGAAGAGGAACAGAAGCACACACATGACTGTGATGATGATGAGCATCTGGTTGTCCTGTATGGGCTCTGGGGATAGAGGGAGCAGAGGTCTTAGCAGTCCTCTGGCCCCGGGAGATCCACCTGCCACCCACCGGCCCATTCATCCATGTTGCAATCACTCTGTGTATAGAGATGAATGGTGTGTAGTCTCTGCCCCCCCCCAAAGTATCATCTACAAGAGTGGGCTGGGGTCTGGGCCACCAACCAGGCTTCTGTCACACTGGAGGACACCAGCCCTAGGAAGCATGTGCTTGCTGGGCACATGACTTAGAGGGTGGCACGGTTCAGGCCAAGGTTCCTCTGGCAGAATTAAGTGAGCTTCACACCAAGTCCCCTGCCCCCCTAAATACAAGAAACACCTTGACCAGGTAGAGTCACAGGACAGGAGAGTTACAGGGGACCTTGGAGGTCAGTCAGGCAGACCTCACCATCAAGAGGAGCCAAAGCCAGAAAGGAGGATAACTTGGTCAAGGTGTAACTAACAGTTGTCATGGGCTCAATATGACTCACAGCATCCCCATATATGCTAGAGTATAACTGCTCTCCATAGGATCTTCAGTGGCTGAGTTTTCGATAGTATGCCTTTTCTTCTGAAAAGTACCAATTGGTGTATTTGAACTTCTAGCTTTCTGGTTAACAGCAGAGCATGCAAACCATTTGTACCAGCCAGGGACTCTTGGTCAAGGTCACTCAGCTTGGTAACAGCCAAGCAACTTGTCTAGCTGGCTCTCTTAGTCACTGGAATAGCCAGAGAGAGCTTTGGGGAACAGGGAAAGTAAGGGGGACCCTCAGGGCTTAAATGTGGGAGCCCTGGTCCCTACCTCCTAAGCCAACAGAGAACAGGGCTCAGGGATTTCCCCTCTAAAGGGCTGGGAGTGAATGCCCTCCTGGTCCTCTCGACTCCCACTCACCATAGACCTGCAGCACCTGGGGTTCTGAGGTTCTGCGAATAATGTCCCCACCGAGAGAGCGTAGGTCCAGCTCCGCCTGGCATGAGAAATTGTAATGGGCGTCCTCTCTGTGGGCTGTAACATTCAGTGTAGCTATGGCCTCTTGGGGGGAAGGTACTGCCCTCTTGAAGGTCTGGTTGTGCAGGGCCTCCTTGCCACGGAGCAGGGTAAGGGTGAGGCTCTCAAGGGGTGCCACAGTGGGTACCCTGCACTCAATGGTGAAGGATTTACCCATTGCCACCCAGGTGGGCTGCAACTTCAACATCACCTGCTTTGGAGGCTCTGCAAGGGAGAAAGGAAGGAGATCTTTCAGAGTCGGATCTCAGTGCCAGCAGGTCCCACCAAGGTCAGGCTATCCCTGTCACTATAGTGTGCTCAGATCCCTGGTTGAACTTGAAGGAAGAGGCTGGGCAGTTCAAGATGAAGAATGTACTGGGCGCTGGCTTTTTCGACATAATGGTTTCAGGAACGGAGGTGCTTAGGTGTCTACAAAGAGGAAGTCCAGAAATTGTAGAGCCAACGGAAAGATATGAAAGTTTGGATCTGTCTCCCTCCCCTCCAGGGATGGAATAGAAATTTCAAAACTGAAAACAAGTGGGAAAGTATTCTGAGAAAGACTTGGCAGGAAGAATTTGCTGGAATTGTGGGTGAATGATAAAGTTCCTCACTTAGGAGGTGGGGCTGGAGTTCCTAATCTACATGATTCCTTGCCACGTGATACCCAGGGGTGCCCTGTTTAGTAAGGAATCATGATGGTACTCTGAATTTCTTTTTGAATTAAAATACTCTACCTCTACTCACCCCACCCCAGGATAATAAGTAGGATTTAGGGCATCTTTCTCTTCTTTTGATCTACTGATGTTGGGAAGGGGAGGACCAAGTGATACCTGTGGTGTCAAGCAGTTGAGTAAATCCCAGCTTATCTGGAGAGTTCTCAGGGCTCATGGGTAGGTGTGTGTGTATCAGCCACACATCCCACACAAAATACTGGCTGAGAGCTCAGCCTACACTGAGGTGAAAGGCTGACCCAAGTCACATGATGACCCCCTCACTGCTGGGTTGGGGGCCTGGGCTGCTCTGGTGATGGAGCTGGGAGAAGACTGTGAACACGGCACTGTGGAACAGTGTTTGGATTTGGGTCCATCTTGGCTAGATTGGCCTCCTTTGAGTAACACGCAAATGTTGATGGTCTGCTTCTGAGATGCCAACAGGCTCCGGGAGACCCATAAAGAGTGTGAGCAGATTCTGAGCCACCAGGCCTGGGTTCTATTCCATCCATGTCACCCTGGGATCTCAGGGACATTGGGACCATGGGGACAGTATCCAGGAACTGGGACAGAGAGCAGCTTTGCCTACATTCCACAGACAAGATTCTGTCCCCGGGAAGAGGAAGAGCCAATGCACCGACACTTACGGTACACGCTGATGCTGGACCTCTTGGATTGCTGTTCCCCAGAGCAGGTGAAGTGGCAATAGAGGACAATGTCCTCAGAGATGTTGTAGATCAAGTATTGCTTCCACTGGAGCCGATAGTCCTCTAGAGTCTTGGGTGAGTTGGTCTCCAGACCACCTGTGTCTGGCTGGGCACAATTGGTGCTACAGTTGACTTTCAAGGACCCACTAGGCTGGACCACCACCTTCTCTGTCCAGATGTATACCTCGAATGCCTTCTCACCAGACCCTGGAAGACCAGAAACACTGATCAGTATCTACTGGCACCGGTGTTCCCACGCCCCTGCTCATTGGCGCTACCTACAGCTAGTGGTCTGGATCAAGGGCCGGGGGCCAAAGGAGAAAGTCCAGGGATGGCCCCTTGTTCAGGTCTTGTCACTTCACATCTAGATTGAGGAGGCTGCCTCCCAGCTTACACAGGCCCCAAGGCCCTCTGGAAAGGGGGTTTCATTTTCGTTTTGTGCAGCCAGCAAGGCAATGCCCTCTGCTGCCCCTAACTGCCCATTTCTGAAGATCACACAGGGGTCTGTCCTCACCTCTTTCTGAAGTCCAATGTCACTTCACTTCCTGAGACCCCACCCAGCCCACCATTCAGCTTCAATTTGCCACATCCATATGCCACCAAGTTCTGGGCCTCTCCAACCTGATGCCGAAAAGGCTTAAGTCCTCTCCTGTGCTGCCCAGGGCCATGGGGACTGGAAGTTAGGCTAGCCCAGCATCCTGTACCCTTGGGTTCAAAGCCTCAGTGACTTCAAAGCTGGAACCCCTTGCCGCAGCTAGAGACCCTGTCACCCCACCCTCTGGGCTGGCATTTGCCAAGTCAGGAAGCCTGGGCATCCACTCACCTGGGTAGCAGAACAGGGCGAGAAAGGCTGCGTATAGGGTCCAGTAACTTAATAAGAACATCTCAGGAGGTGTCTGTGAGTTGGCGGGGAACAGCGGAGGGTCGCCTGTTTCTGTAGAGAGCCAGAGCAAGGCAAGGAGTGGCCGCCTGGAGCTACAGCCCAAAATCCCCTGAATGCCGTGAGCTGATGATCACATTTCCTCTCATTATCTGAGTGGTCTTGAGAAGCCACGTGTACCGGCCAGCTCCCAGCACTCCAGGCCTCTGAGAAACCATGCAAAGGAAGCTGGGAAGCAGCCGATAAGCAGGGAGAATAAATTGTGTGCTGCTGGGCAGAGGGTGAGGCAAATGACGGAGCACACATGTGATCAAGCATGTGTATGTGTGTGCACATGGGACTCAGGTGGGTGCCTTTTTATGTGCATGGAGGAGGACGAGGAGGAGGCACTCAAGCCTCCAGGTTGGAGTACCCTCCAGGCATGGCTATCCAAGGTCAGGATATGCAATCCCTAGAGCAAAGGGGACAGAGGCAGGAAGCCTGGGCAGGAACTGAGGTCCTCCAGCTAAATGTCCAGCACAAGTTGACCTAAACCTCCAATTCAGTTTTCATACTAAATCTGTACCTGATTCAATTGATTCTTTAACACTGGAGGTCTGACAGGGCCTCCGGAAAGGCAGCCCATAATAGCCCAGGGTGGCATTGCAGATCTCTGGACAAAAGAAACCCACCAAAACCCCAACCTGAGGACATTTGTTTCTGTTAAGTGCTGTCGAGTTGATTCTGACTCATAGATAGGGTTTCCAAGAACAGCTGGTGGGTTTGAACTGCTGACCTTGTGATACCAGTCCAGTGCTTATCCTACAGTGCTACACCAGGGCTCAATGGAGAACATTAGGGTAAGGGAAATAAGCCAGTCACAAAAGGACAAATATTGTATAAGAGTTGTTGTTGTTGTTAAGTGCCGTCGAGTCAGTTCTGATCCTGTATAGGGTTTCCAAGGAGCAGCTGGTGAACTTGAACTAACCTTACTGTTCAAAGGGCTTTGCAGTCTGACGCGTGAACCCACGGTGCCACACCAGGACTCCTCGGTATGAGGGTACTATCATGAAGTCAAGAAAGGGTTTTCACAGTAAAAGAAACATTCTTTGATGGTTAGCAGGGGTGGGAGGCTTGATGATCTGCTTTCTTAAAGATTGCGGCCAATCAAACCCGATGGAGCAGTTCTGCTCTGTAACTAACTGTAACTCTAACTCAGATGGTTGACGTGAGTCCGAATTGACTGTATAGGAATGGGTATCATATCTTTAAAAAGTAATTAAAAGGGACAAAAGAGAAATTGCCATGTTACAGAAATATTGTGGTAGCTGTTATTGTTGACAGGTTCCATTGAGTCAGTTCTAATTCACAGCATCCCGACATCCAACACAATCAAACACTGGCCACCCTGCACCATCATTCCCAGGTTTGAGTCCATTGTGGCAGTCACTCTGGTAATCCATCTTGTTAAGGGTCTTCCTCTTTTTCACTGACCCTCTACTTTACCAAGCCTGATAACCTTCTCCAGGGACTGGTTCCTTCTGATGTTAATGCCCAGAGTATGTGAGACAAAGTCTTGTCGTCTTTGCTTCTACGGAGCATCCTGGTGGTACTTCTACCAACAGATTTCTTTGTTCTTCTAGCAGCCTATGGTACATTCAATAGTCTTCACCAATACCATAATTCAAAGGCATCAGGGTTTCTTCAGCCTTCCGTATTCATTGTCCAGCTTTCGCATGCATATGAGGTGGTTGAAAATACCATGGTTTCGGTCAGGCGCACCGTACTCTTTAAAACTGACACCTTTGCTTTGTAAGTCTTAGAAGAGATCTTTTGTAGGAGCTTTATCCAGTGCAATATGTCATTTGATTTCTTGACTCAGCTTTCATGGGCATTCATTAAGGATGAAGTAAGAAGATGTCTTTTCCATCTTTTCTCCATATATGTTGTTGCTAAGTGCGATCCATTCAGTTCATACTGACTCATAGTGACCCTGTGCACAAAACACTGCCCAATCTGTGCCATTCTCATGTTTAAACATTCCCATCCTGTCATGTTTAAGCCAATCCAATGTTGCAGCCACTTTATCAGTCCATTTCATTGGCAAGGCATCCTCTGTTTTGATGACTCTCTACATTATGGGAATTATTGGACAATGTCATTACTATCACACGCAAGTAAAGTTTTGCTCAAGATAATTTAAAAATGGCTGCAACAGTACAACTGACAAGAGGAAATTGCCAGAGATTCAAGCTGGATTCAGACAAAGATGTGGAACGAGAGACATCATTGCTGATGTAAGATGGATCTTAGCTGAAAGCAGAGAATACCAGAAAGATGCTTACCTGTACTTTATTGGCTACTCAAAGGCTTGCAACTGTGTGGATCATGACAAGCTATGGACAACATTCTGAAACACTTAGTTGTGTTCATGAGGAACATGTACATAGACCAAGAGACAGTTGTTCAGACAGAACAAGGGAACACTGAGTGGTTTAATATCAGGAAAGGTGTACGCCAGGGTTGTATTCTTTCACCATGCTTATTAAATCTGTACCCTGAGCAAATAATCCAAGAAGCTGGATTATAAAAAAAATGGGCAATAAAATTTGTATATATTATAAACACATGGTATTAAATTTTTGAAGGAAAAAAAAAAAAAGAATGGGTATCAGAATTGGAGGAAGACTCATTAACAACCTGCGACATGCAGATGATACAACCTTGCTTGCTGAAAGTGAAGAGGACTTGAAATACTTACTGATGAAGATCAAAGACCTCAGCCTTTGGTATGGGTTGCATCTCAATGTAAAGAAAACAAAATCCTCACCACTGGATGAATAAATAACATCATGATAAAAGGAGAAAAGATCAAAGTTTTCAAAGACCTCATTTTGCTTGGATCTATTATCAACCTCATGGAAGAAAGAGTCAAGAAATTAAACAATGTATTACATTAGGCAAATCTGCTGTACAAGACCTCTTTAAAGTATTCAAGAGCTAAGAACTCAGTTTGAGGACTAAGTGCAACTGATCCAAGCCATGGTATTTTCAGTAACCTCATATGCATGTGAAAGTTGGACAATGAATAAGGAAGACCATAGAAGAACATTTGAATTATGGTGTTGGGGGAGAATATTAAAAGTACCATGGACTGCCAGAAGAAATCTGTGTTGGAAGAAGTATAAAATCTCCTTAGAACCAATGATGGCCAGACTTTTTCTCTCATATTTTGGACATATTATCAGGAGGGACCAGTCCCTGAAGAAGGACATCATGCTTTGTAAAGTGGAGGGTCAGTGAAAAAGGGGAAGAGCCCCACCAAGATGGATTGGCGCAGTGGCGGCAGCAAATAGGCGCAAGCATGGCAATGATTGTGAGATTGGTGCAGGACAGGGCAGTGTTTGTTTTGTTGTGCATAAGGTCACTGTAAGTTAGTACCAACACGGCGGCACCTGAAAATAATACTCAAGGTCAATTTTTGGCTCTCATGAACTAGTTTTAATTTTCCTCAGCTTCAGCCTGAACTTGATTATGAGCAATTTTTGGTGTGTTCCACAGTTGGTCCCTGACCTTGTTTGGGTTCATGTTACTGACCTTGACCATCGCCTCTTCCCACAGAAGCAGTCCATCTGATTGCTGTCTGTTCAATCTGGAGAAGTCTACATGGACAATTGCCGTTTATGTGGTTGAAAAAAATGTATTTGCAATGAATAAGCCGTAGATCTTTCCAAATTCTATCATGTCATTATTAATATCATTTCTATCACCCAGGCCACATTTTCTAATTTATCTCTCCTTTGTTTTCAATGTTCTCATTCAATCACTAGCAAGTATCAATGCATCTTGATTGCATATTTGATGAATTTCAAACTGAAGAAGTTAGTCAAATTCTTGAATTTCTTCATCACTGGCTTTGGTGGTTGATAAATTTGAATAATAGTTATATTAATTTGTCTTCATTGAAGATGTACAGATATTATCCCATCGCAGACAGCAGTGTATTTCAAGACACACCTTGAAAGGTCTTTTTGACGAAGAATGCGATGCCACTCCTCTTCAATTTGTTGTCCCTGGCATAGTAAACTATATGATTGTCTGAATCAAAATAACCAATACCTGTGCATTTCACTTCACTAATGCCTGGGATAGTAATCATTATGCATTCTATTTCACGTCTGATGATTTCCAATATTCCTAGATTCATACTTCATATATTCCATGTTCCGATTTTCAATGGACGTTTGCAACTATTTTTTCTCCTTTTGATTTGTGCCCCATCAGCAAATGAAGGTCCTGAAAGTTTTACTCCATCCATGTCATTAAGGTTGATGTTCTTTGGGGAGTCAGATCTTCCTCAGTCATAATCTGAGTACCTTCCAACCTGCAGAATTCATCCTCCTGCTCTATACCAACATAAGACAAAGGTTTGCTGCTATTTATAAGGTTGTCACGGGTGAATGCCTCAGAAGTGGACCATCTATTCCTTCTTTCCAGTCTGTCTTAGTTTGGAAGCTCCATGGAAATCTGTCCACCATGAGTGACCTTGCTGGTATTTGAGACACCAATGGCATAGCTTCCAGGATCACAGCAACATACAAGCCACTATAGTACAACAAACCAACAGGCACGTGGGCTTCTCAGTATTTAGTGATGGCATTTATTGGTCCAGCTGTGAGAATTGTTGGTTTCTTTGAGTTGAGGTGTAATCCATATTGAAGGTTGTATTCTTTGACCTTCATTAGTAAGTGCTTCACAATTTGTTAATGAGCCTTCCTTCAATCCTGATGCCGGGTTCTTCTTATAGTCCAGCTTCTCAAAGTATTTCCTCAAAATTCAGATTGAATAAATTTGATCAAGAATACAACCCTGGTGCACACCTTTCCCATTTTAAACCACGCAGTATCCCTTGTTCTGTTTGAACAACTGTCTACGTATTTCCTATCTGTAGTTTCTCAGAAAGGATGATTTGAATTATTAAAATCTTTACAGACCTCTAAGACACGCTTGCCTATTTTTCTCTTTAGTTAAACAAGGTGTTAGTGTGACTCACACTGTTATGCTTCCCAGTAAACCACCGTAAGTCAGTGTGGTGCCCTAGGATAAGGACTGGATCACAAGGTCATTTAAATCACAAGGTCAGTGGTTCAAAATCACCAGCTGCTCCTTAGAAACCCCATGCATGGTTGCTATGGGTTGGAACCGACTCGACGGCACTTAACAACATATATACATAGAGAGCTTTGGTAGCATAGTGGATTATGAGCTGGGCTCCTAACCACAAGGTCAGTGGTTCAAATCTACCAGCTGCTCCATGGGAGAAAGATGAGGCTTTCTGCTTTTGTTAAGATTTGCAGCCTCAGAAACCCTATACAGGGCTGCTATGAGGTAGAACTGATTCCACGGCACATAATCATCACCATATATATGCTTGAAGCCCTGGGGTAGCACTGTAGAATAAGTACTGGACTGCTAACTCCAGGGTCAGCAGTTCAAACCCACTAGCTGCTCCTTGGGAACCTTATACAGGGTTGCTATGAGTTGGAAATGACTCAAAGGCACTTAACGACACACACACATATATACACACCCATAAGCATGGTTGTTGTTATTGTCTAGTCCTGTTTTAACCTTATATATATTTTAACTTTTTAAAATCATTGTTCCCAATCATTACTGCCCTAACTTTTACCTTGAGCACTGCTCCCGGGACATGTAGCTGAAGGATTTAGTTGTGTATTGTTAATTAAGACTCAGAGGAAAGTCACGAGAGAGGCTGATGGGAGGAGGCATAAGCTCTGAGAAAGGAATGTGACAATAATAAATGGACTCATACCCAGGAGGGCATGACAACTCCAACCATATGGGGAAGCCAAGGCAGTCTTTCAAAGAAGGATCTCACTGCCTTCTAGATCTGTTGATAAAATGTATGTCGATTCTCACCCTGTCCCTATTATTGGCTGCAGCGGCTGGTGGACTGACTTTTGTCCATTAACAGTGTGGCACTGTAGGATAAGCACTGGACTGTTAACTGTAAGGTTGCCAGTTCAAATCCACCAGCCCCTCCTCAGAAACTGTCTCGATGAATCAAGACCAATTAATGGCATTTAACAATAACAACATATAGGAGCACAGTGGCTCTGTAGGATAAGCACTGGATTGCTAACCACAAAGTCAGTGGTTTGAGTCCACCAGCCACTCAGAGGGAAAAGGTGAGGCTTTCTGCTCCCACAAAGATTTCTAGCCTTGGAAACTCTGTGTAGGGTTTCCAAGGAGAGGCTGGTGGATTTGAACTGCTGACCTTGCCGTTTAAATCAACATTGCAGTTGAGTGCTTATCCTACAGCGCCACACCAGGACTTTCTTTACATATATATGTTGTTGTTGTTGTTGTTGTTAAGTGCCATGGAGTTGATTCCAACCCATAACGACCCTGTATAGGGTTTCCAAGGAGAAGCTGGTGAGCTTGAACCATCCACCTTGCAGTTCAAACAACTTTGCAGTCTGATGTATTAGCCCACAGCACCACACCAGGACTCCTTACATATATATATATACATATATTTAAATGAACAGAGAAGCTCCTACATGTTTAGAAAAAAGAATGTGAGTGAATATAGGGCAGGGCAAACCACTTAGTGAAATTAATCACAAATGCACGCTGGGGTGGAAGGATACATACAGATTGCCCAACATGAGTCCATGGACAAAATGAAGCTAGCTCTCACTTTCCAAATCACTCTCCCACACAGCAGGACATGAGAGGAAAGGACTCAGGGACAAAAAGCAGAAGATAAGCACAGAGGCAGGGCCCAGAGACCAGTAGAGCCGGAGTTCACAGCACACGGTTGGACAGTCAAATAGAAAGGAACTCTGGGGAAACTGAAGCCCAGGTTCAGCAGGAATTAGAACTTGGCCCTCGACATTTAGGATTCCTTCCAAGCTGCTGAGCTGAGACGCGAGGACAATGAAAAATGTGAGCTTACCCCTGTGGACAAAGGCCGCGATGCTGTGAGGAGACCAGGCTTGTGTCTGCTAACCACCTGTGAGATGTTTGTGATTTCAAGTTTCCTGTGTCCCCATGTGGAGGTCACGTGCTTCCTGTACCCAACTGTATTCTCTGAACTACCTCATTTTCATTTCTCCTCCCTCCACTTTTTGTGTGCAAGAACACAATTTATACAAAAGTTTTAAATTCCACCTCCAACAGGAATTCTGTACCCATTCAGAAGTAACTCCCCTCTCCCCTTTTCCCCCAGTCTCTGGTAACCATGAATCTACGGTCTGGTTTTCTACACATTTGCATTAAAAGGTTTCCTATTTTAAAAACCAAAAGACCAAACAGTTGCCTTCAAATGGATTCCAAGTCCCGGGGACCCCACGTGTGTCAGAGCAGAACTGTGGTTCTCAAGGTATTCAGTGCCTAGTAGAACCCCAGACCTTTCTTCTGAGCTGCCTCTGGGGGGGCTTGAACCTTCAACCACTGGATTAGCAGAAGACAGCATTAACTTTTTGCCCCACCCAGAAGCCGGTTTCATGTAAGTGTGATCAGACAACACTTGCCCTTTTCTGTCTGGCTTATTTCACTCAGTATAATGTTTTTAAGGTTGTTCCAGGTTGAAGCATGTATCAGTCCTATGGAAATGCCTATGCCACATTTTGTTGATGCATTCATCTGCACTGATTGGGGCCTTTGATGAGACAATTGCAGGATCTCCTGAGTTAGGAGTCCCTGTGGAACTGTGGCTAAGCACTCGGATGCTAACCAGAAGATCGGCAGTTCAAACCCACTAGCTGCTCTTCGGGAGAAAGATGTGACATTCTGCTTCCTTAAAGATTTGCCACATTGGAAACCCCACACTGTCCTACAGGGTCACTATGAGTTGAAATCAACTCGAAAACAAAGAGTTTAAGGGGAGTTGTTGTCTTTAGTGTCGTTGTGTTGGTTCTGACTCATAGCGGTTCTTTCTAGGGTTTCTGAGGTTTTAAAATCTTTGTGGAAACAGAAAACCTCATCTTTCTCCCTCAGAGTGGTTGGTGGGTTTGAATTGCCAACGTTGCAGTTCGGCCTCATCTTTGACCTTGTATATGACTAAGAACCATACTACTTCACATTGTTGTTGTCAGGTGCCATCGAGTCGGAACCGACTCATAGCGACTCCATGCACAGCAGAACGAAACAATGTTCGATCCTGGGCCAACCTCACCACCGCTGCCACCCCCGAGTCCATCAATGATGCCACCTGGCCGATCCATCTCGTTGGAGGTCTTCCTCTTTTTCTCTGACCCTCCACCCTACCCAGCATGACATCCTTCTCCAACGATTGTTTCCTCCGGACTACATGTCCAAAGTAGGAGAGACGAAGCTTAGCCATCCTGGCCTCCAAGGAGCACTCTGGCTGCACTTCTTCCAAAACAGATCTATTGGTTCTTTTGGCAGTCCATGGCACCCTCAGTATTCTCCTCCAACACCACAACTCAAAGGCATCAATTCTTCTACGATCCTCTTTATTCACTGTCCAGCTTTCGCATCCATATGAGGCTATCTTCACATAGCCATTTAAAAAATTACCGTTTCAGAATGACTTTTACAAAGAAGCAAAACATATGAAAGTTGAGTTCAGAGGTGGCTGCTGGGCTCACCCACAAAGAGGTTCTTGCTCTCACAGACATCCCTCATGGCAGGCACCATTCAAACCCCCAGCCTAGGAGAGCTACCAATCATGTCCCAGACCACGAGACAGTTGAGGCCCTGGGTGCTGAGGGACTGCTGGGCCCTGGAGCAATTCTTTCATGGTATTTTATGTCTATAACATTTATGTTTATAACAAGTTCCCCAGGTAATACTGATGCTGCTGGCCTGGGGAACACACTATTTTAGCAGAAAGGAGAAAGTGTTCTGTTTAAATACAGCTGCAAGAAGCTGAGACTTGGAGCAAACACTGCCTGGGACGTCAGAAGGCTGGCTCTTGTTCGGGGGTGTCAGCAGACTGTCCTGTCCGTTAGCTGTTCTGCCCTGCCTCTTGTCAGCTGAATGACTTTGGGCAACTTACTAACTTCTCTGAGCTTCAGTTTGCTTAACTTCATAATAGGGAATCAATAGTAACAATAGCCATCACGTCTGTTGCGTTATTGTGTGTGCCAAATGCTGTTCTAAGTTCTTCATCTGTTACAACAACCCTATGAGTAGATACTATTGTTTCCCATTTTACAGATGAAGAAACTGAGCCACAGGCTGACTTGTTGATGAGGTCGCATAGTCAAGCAGTTGGGATCCTACATCCAGACTCTTAAACTAGAGAACTCTTCTTGCCCACATCAGAGCCCCCTTGCTCCCCTATAGGCTTCTGGGAGGAATAAGTGTGATCACTTGTTAAGCTTTTACTCAGAGTCTTGCACACAGTAAGCCCTCAACCAAGTTTCATGATGGCAGCTGCAGTCAACAAGGACTTGTACACTTTCATGTTTGTGTAGGGTTTATTCAAGGACAGCCTACTAAGTGTTCTGACCATCATCAAAATGATAGACCTCAAGATCATCCCCACTACACAGATGAGAATACTGAGGCCTAGGGGCCTTCCATATTAATCCTTAAGTGAACAAAAGGTTTGTGAATATGTATTACTTAGGAGACTACTGCCCAATGATGGACTTGAGTTGCCTAGGCCAGGTTCCTTGACCTCCTTTCATCTGGACTTCAGTGTCAGCTCTATGGGCTACCCTGGGAAGTGGGGAGGAGGAGCAAACCTGCTCCTGATTGTAAAGGGAGGCTGCCAGGCTGCTGCCAGAATGACCATGTCTTTTACTAGACTGACTGTTGGGATGCTTGCACATCCTAGCCACTAGGTGGTGTCAGTGTGCAGGCTGGTGCCCCTGGGCCCTGAGTGTTCACTTGGTTTATGGGCTTGATGACACAATGGATAAGGGCAGGGCTGTTAACTGAAAATGAACCCACTAGATGCTCTGTGGGAGAAATCCATGACAACCTACTTCTGTAAAAATTACAGTCTTGAAGGCTTTATGGAGCGATTCAGCTTTGTCCAACAGGGTCACTGTTCAGTGCAGTGTAGTGTGGGCATAGAAAGCCTCATCTTTCTCCCACAGAGCAATTGGAAGACTCAAACTGCTGGCCTTGAGGTTAGCAGCCTAGCTCATAATCCACGATGCTACCAGGGCTCCTTAGTAGTATATGCAACATATATTTGGGGAGGACAGAATCAATTCATAATACCTACCAACATCTTGAATTAGGACTTCTGACTTCAAGAATTCTTGTTTTGAGGAGAGACCCTAGGTGGACGTGGTGGCTGAAACAATGGGCTCAAACTACTGTGAGGCTGACGCAGGACAGGCAGGTGGTTAGTTCTGTTAGAGTCAGAGACAACTGGGGGGAGAGGGCAAATAATGGGCTGTTAACTGCAAGGTCAGCGGTTCAAACCCACCAGCCTGTCTTCAGAAACCCTATACAGAGTCGCTATGAGTTGGAACAAGAGCAACCTAAAGGTTGGTGGTTTGAACCAGGACTTCAAACCAGTGCATTCCGGTTTGGCCCTGCTGAGAATGTGCATTTCCATACCAGATCTACTGGGAATCCTGTTAAACTGTAGATTCGAATTCAGTGTGTCTGGGATGAAAACACATTCTTAGCAAGGGACTGAACCAGAATACATCAGTTCAAAGCCCTGGTTTGAATCCCTGGTTTGAACCTACCCAGTGGAACTGATAGCGTGGCACTGTGGGTTAATGCACCGGACTGCAAAGCCATTTGAACTGCAAGGTCAGCGGTTCAAGCTCACCAGCTGCTCCTCGGAAGCCCTATACAGGGTTGCTATGGGTCAGAATTGACTCGACGGCACTTAACAACAACAACAACAGTGGTACTAAGGAGTCCTGGTACGGTACTATAGGTTAAGGACTAGTAGGCAGTTCAAACCCTCCAGGTATTCCTCAGAAAACCTATAAAAGGTCACTCTGAGTCAGAAAAACGACAGCAGTGGTGACCTGCTTCCTTACAAATGAGAGCAAAGCAAACCACATGATCACTCATCCTTCCTGTATCTGCTGCTTCCATGGAAACATTGACAATTACAGATCCATTGACCATGATTGCTCTCAGTTGGGAGGATTCTTGCTTTTCTTTGTGTTGAGGTGTCATCCACATTGAAGGCTATAGTCTGACTTTCATCAGTTAGTATCTCAGTCCTCTTCACTTTCAGCAAGCAAGGTTGTGTTATCTGCACATCGCGGTTGTTACTGAATCTTCTCCAAGAAGCCTCTGCTTCTTCATAGAGTCTGGTTTCTCAGACTGTTTGGCATACAATTTGAGTAATTAAAGTGAAAGTATACATCCCTGCCACACACCTTTTTTGAATTTGAACTAAATATACAATGAAAACCAAACCCAACCCACTGCCATCAAGTTGATTCCAAACTCATGACAACCGTATAGAAAGTTTCCGAGACTGTAAATCTTTCTAGTAGACAATCTCATCATTCTTCCGTGGGGCTGCCGGTGGATTTGAACTGCCTACCTTGTGGTTAGCAGTTCAGAACACCTGGTAACATACAACTGATTTTTTAAATAAAAGTACAAGTCGGGCTGCTGTCCTCAAGATCAGCAATTTGAAATACCAGCTGTTACGTGGGAGAAAGATGAGGCTTTCTGCTCCCATAAAGATTTACAGCCTCGGAAGCCCTATAAGGAATCGCTTAAGTCGGAACTGACTCCACAGCACATAACCACCACCACTCTTCAAGGTCAGCAGTTTGATTTCTTAACAGCTGATTCATGGGAGAAAGATGAAGTTTTTTATTTCCATAAAGATTTACAACAGCCTTGGAAACCTTATAAAAACAACAGCCTTGGAAACCCTATAAAGGGTGGATGTGAGTTGGAAACAACTCGACAGCACGCAGGTGCCACCAACACCAACCACTCTTTAGCTAGATGAAAATGTGTCTTCATCTAACACCTGGGCCCTAAAGGAAAGCAGCCTCACTGTAAAAGAACAGAAAACAAGACAGCTGTGTCTCGTGGGTTTTACCTTTGCTCTCTATAACCAGTCAATGAGCTGCCTTTGACATTTTTCCTAAGGAAACAGTTCATTTTCCTGTCTGAGTTCCTAGGAAAGCCAAAAAAAACAAATTTATTGCCATTAAATGTATTTTGACTTACTGTTGAAATCCTGGTGTGGCCCTATGGGATAAAGCATTAAACTGCCAGGTCAGCAGTTCAAACTCACCAGTCACTCCTAGGAAACCCTATACAGGGTTGCTATGCATCAGAACTGACTCAACAGCACTTAACAACCACAACGCTGTCATATGGTGTTGCTATAAGTCGAAAATCGACTCAATAATACCTATCTGCATTCCTACACCTTCCTCCATGGTCCAAATGCGTCAGTCCAACTCTGCTTTCCTAGAGCCTCCTGCCTCCCTTGCGATTCCTCTGGACTCATGGATATTCCAGGCTAATGTTTCCATCTAGATTTTTAGGTCAATCATAGCTGCAAACTCCTTTTGTCTTATAAGGAAACAAATTCACAGAGTGAGGGACCTGCTGGGGGCATTATTCCTCACATCTTTTACAGTTTCCTTCCTCTTTCCCATCTCTACCCTTCTACACTGAATTCTGGGAGGAATTTCACACCTGGACTTTCAGATGCTGGTTTCCTCTTCAGCTGTGCCCGCCCACCCCACTGTTGACTTGGTTTCAAGTTCTATTTTCAGTTCCAAGATATCTCCTTGGTTCTTTGTGCTTCGTGGATGTGCCATCCTCCCTTCTCGAAGGATATCTGAATTGCTCTTCTTGTGAAGGCCTGCTCCCTCAGATGTACTAAAGCCCGCTGTGAAGTCTAGTTCTCAAAGCTGGTTCTACTCTATTTAGCATGTGCTGCTAAGATTCCCAGGTGGGGGTGGGGATTCCTGTCTGCTGCTCTGCCTGTCAGCCTACCTGGGTGAGGTGCCCGCCTGGGTGAGTTATAGGAGTGGCCCTTGGGGTCTACACTCTGTACCTGTTCAGTGAGAATGGGACTAGGTGGGACACACTCCTTTATAGATACCTGGGTTGCTGTGATTTCTGCTAAGTGCTCACAGGGTCTCACCGACCCCCAAGCGTCCATACAGCCTGGATTTTCCTGGACACACCAAAACAGTCAGGCCCATTGTCAGAATGTCAATTCTGACTCCTGGTGACCCCATGTGGTATAGAGTAGGATTGCAATCTTTACGTTATTTGTTAGTGCAAACCTCACCATCCAGGAATTTCCCTGGAAGCAGACATTTCCACGCTGCTGTGCTCATAGTTGAAGGGAGGGCGGCCCCTGACTTTGCTTCCTCTTCCAATGCATCGTCCCCTCCACTCACCCCCTCTTCAATCTGACCACATCTGCTTTGAGTTTCTCTGTGGTCCCTCCCCTTTCTGGTCCAAATAGTTCACTCTTCTTTCTGAGCACAACTACATATGAGTTTATTCACCTTTCTCTCCCATCTTTGATTTGGTTGTGGGAGAGAACCTAGGTGTCATCTTGAAATGCTGCCTCTTTTAGGAAAAACGTCTTGGTCAAAGGGCCCTGGAACTCTTCCTGGTGATGGTACAGTAGGGCTGGAAGTCAATCTCTTGAGTCTGAAGCAGCGATCTTCCCTTACATGAGACTGATGTTCCTTCCTAGGACCTGA